TCTCTGTAGATTCCAGGCCAGCCCCATTTACTTTTCGAAATCCTGTGTAGTAGTTTGAATGAAAATGGTCCCCACAGGCTCTTAGGGAGTGGTCTTATTTGAAAGGATTAGGACATGTGGCCTTGTTGGAGAAACTGTGTCACTGGAGTGGGCTTTGACAGTTCAAATGCTCAAGCCAGGCCTAGTGTCCCACCCCATCTTTCTCTCTTCCTGCTGCCTGCTGATCCAGATGTAGAACTCTCAACTACCTCTCCTGCACCATGTCTGCCTGTCTGTTCCCGTGCTTCCTGCCATTATGACAATGGACTAAGCCTCTGGACCTGCAAGCCAATAAAATTCCAATATGTTTTTTTAAATAAGAGTTGCTGTGGTCATGGTGTCTCTTCAGTGCAATATAAACCCTTACAAGACACCCTGTCTCTTAAAAATATAATTTAAAAATGTAAAACAATAGCAACAACAAGCAATGCCCCCAAACACATTGCCAGTTGCCACCAGAAGCTACAAAAGCTACAAGAGACACACGGAGCAGGATCTCCCTTCCAAAGGAATCAATGATCTCTGGGGCTCGTGGAACACAGAAAATCATTTTCCTTTGTTTTAAACCAACAGGTTGGTGGCACTTGGGTACAGCAGCCCCAGAAAAGCAACACAGAATGTAAGAGGTATTTCTTGGAGGAACTGTTTACCCTGTCCCATGGCCAGAGGTTTGGAGCTACTGCGGATGGAGACTCTCCCTATAAGGCATACACAGAGAGGAGAACACTGGCCTAAGGGGAAGGCGGTGAGTAGAAAATGAGGAACAGGGCAGATGCGGCTGTTTGATTGTCACCCGGCCACACATGCCCTACCCCTGCTCTTGCGCCAGGTAGGAACTAGAGGTCTCGCAAAGAGGAGCTGCTGTGTAATATATCCAAACCAATAATCCCACCTTCAGGTTCTGAGGCCAGTTCCAAGACGTTAGGTTCAAACCCAGGGTTTTAAAATGAACTCAAGGATGTGGACGGTTGGAAAAATCTGTATCTGCATCATACACCCTTAGCTCTGTGACTGGCAGTTCCTACGCCTCAACCACTTTCTAATCTAGTGGCATGACTAAGCAAGATTGTGGGGCCCAGAAAGGAGACGCAGAGACTCCATGGAACTTGCACTTCTTGCAGTTAACAGGGTCTTTTAGGTGTGGCACTGGTACTGATGTACTCGGGACGTCCCTGCCGCCTACCTCCACTCCCACCTCACCCCTGCCTCTCACTCCCATACAAAGACTCATTTGTGCATTTCCATAGTCGCCACCTTGACCCCCCCCCCCAACTGGGAGGTTTTCTCACATAGCCAAACAATTGTCACAGCCTTGGAGACTCACCCAGGCAAAGCAGGTATATGAAATCTATGTCCATTGCTTCCCTTATCCCCAAGTCAAGATCCAGTCTTCCGCTCTCAGGAAGAAGAGGCAGAAGGCTCCCACAGTTCTCTCCTGGCCCCACTTTGTCCCTGGAACCTGCAGGCTGAAACTTTGCCCTGACACTAGGGTTGCCTGCATAGCTGTTTGCACAATTTCCTTCCTGCACTGACCCAGGACGCAAGAAGCCTTGAATGATAACATCTCCCTCAGTCCATGTGAAGCCCTGGGACCTAACCTCCTTAACTAAAATCCCACCTGAGATGTTTTCCATTTTAATTTGTTCATATGGACAATTTCATGCTTGCATATGGTATCCTGTGGTCACATTCGTCCCTACTTTCTACTCCACCGGCCCCTTCTTTCCAAACTAGTCCCCCTCCTGCATTCACACTCCTCCTATCTATCCATCACACCCGTCCTTCCTTTTTTTCTTTCTTTTTCTGGTGTTACACTTGTATTATCATTCTCTTCTGGTTATTTTAGTCTGCTTATTCTATAACAGTCATGCCTTTAAGCAGATTATGTTCTATCCTTATGAAATTTGTTTTCTTTGAACATTTCATCAAGGTATACAATGTATCTTGATCATATAATACAGCTTCTCAAATTCCTTGTATCTCCCTCTTAACTTCTTGTCTTCCTTTTAAGATTATTCACTTTAAGGGCTGGAGAGCTGGCTCAGTGGTTAAGAGCACTGGCTGGTTTTCCAGAGGTCCTGAGTTCAATTCTCATCAACCACATGATGGCTCACAACCATCTGTATTGGGATCTGATGCCCTCTTCTGGTTTGTCTGAAAACAGCAACAGTATACTCATACCTAAAATAAATAGGTCTTAGAAAAAGGGTAACAATAATCTTTACAAAAAAAAAAAGGGAGCAGATGTCTCTCTTCCAAAGAACCTGAGTTCCAGTCCCAGCACCCAAGTCAGGTGGCTCACAACTGCCTGTAACTCCAGCTTTAGGGGACCTAACAGCTTTAGGGGTCTTTGAGCACCTGCTCTCCCATGCACATACCCACACACAAATACACATACACACATGTAATTATACATATATAAATTAATTTTATACATATAATTAAACAAAAATAAAATATTAAAAAATAAACTTTCTTTCTTTCTTTCTTTCTTTCTTTCTTTCTTTCTTTCTTTATTTATTTGTTTTCAAGACAGGGTTCTTCATGTAGCACTGGTTGCCTGGAACTCACTCTGTAGACCAGGCTGGCCTTGAACTGACATATGGGAAGTGGATCTAATCAGCAATAGTTCTTTGGGGGAGAGTTTGATCTTCTTTCTCAACAGTTCAGTCCCGTAGCAAACACCAAATACGACTCAGCAGCTGCAGACCAATCCTTTTGGCAAGCAGACACAAGGCACGAACCAGTAACTGCAGTTCAATCCTGAAGAAACCACCAGGCTCGCCAGCCAACCTAAGGCAAGGCAGTGGAAGCCTCGAGATGCTGCAGGAACCTCATGAGCAGTTCTTGGGCAAGTTTCTCTCAATGGCAGCATTCTCACAAGTTGAGCTCAACACCACTATGTAAGGAAAACCAATACATGTGTGTGTGTTTAGCGAAGATCAGCGAGGTGGAGCAAACCAAACCAAGGCTCAGTGCATCTCTCCCACTGTCTACGGAGTCATATTTATATTCCTTCACCAAGCACCCTTTCACATGTTTACTATATTCAAACACCCTTTCACCTGTGTCTGCTTCAGGAACAGTCTTCGGTTTGCTTTAGCAAGACATCCTTTCACCTGTGTGCCCCGGCAAAACATCATTTGACATAACTTTCCAAAGAAATTACAGTTTCCACTTCACAGGACCTGGAGTAGCAGGCAGTTGCTGCCATGATGTGGGTGCTGGGAACCGAATGCCACTCCTCCGTAAAAACAACATGTGTGCTTAATCACTGAACCATCTTTCTAGCTCCTGTTTCTTCTTTAAGATTTATTTATTTCATTTATATGAGGACACCGTAGCTGTCTTCAGACACACCAGAAGAGGTCATTGGATCCCATTACAGATGGTTGTGAGCCACCCTGTGGTTGCTGGGACTTGAACTCAGGACCTCTGGAAGAGCAGTCAGTGCTCTTAACCGCTGAGCCATCTTTCCAGCCCCAACCCCTGTTTCTTATCACTACCCTGTGGTGAAAAGAATCTTCCTGTGTGTCTATGTGGAGACACCTGTGACACCATTGGGTGGGACCTGTTTTTTAGATGAACTCACATTGATTTAAGGTACGGCATAGTACCCTATAACTATAAATAACGAGGGTAAATGGGACAGTTAAAGTTTGCCACAAAAGTAGCTCTGTATTGGAAGGTAGGTTTGTAGCAGCCATTTCATGACTGATGAAATTCCTTATTCAGAACATAATTGATTACTTAATTATTTTTTCCTAGGGTGATTGAAGTATAATTGACACATAAAAATTCAATATGTCAGGGCTGGAGAGATGACTCAGTGGTTAAAAGTACTGGATACTCTTGTAGAGGACCCTGATTCCATTCCCAGAACCCACATGGTGGTTCACAATCACATATGAATCCAAAACCCTCTTTCTGCTCTCTAAGGCATCAGGCATGCACATTGGTACAGACATACATCTGGTACATAGACATACATTCAGGCAAAACACACATAGACATTGATTTATAAATTAAATATGTCAAGATCTTACTTTGTCCATAGTAAATACACTCAATTTGTACTGCCAATTATACCTTTGTCAACTGGAGAAGAAAACAGTCATAATTACACAACAGTCAAATTACATTTTAAAATGGAGTGTTAGCTGGCTGTGGTGGGGCATGCATGTCTTTAATTCCACGACTCTGGAGGCAGAGGCAGGCAGATCTCCATGAGTTCAAGGCCAGCTTGGTCTACAAAGCAAGTCCAGGCCAACCAGGGCTGGTTACACTAAGAAACCCTGTCTGGAAAGGAGGACCAGTGATTGGCCCAAAACTGGGATCCAGCTCAAGGGGAGGCTCCAAGGCCTGGCACTATTACTGATGCTATGGTGTGCTTACAAACAGAAGCCTAACATGGCTGCCCCTCCAACAAGCAGCTGAAAGAGCCAGATGCAGATACTTACACCCAAGCAATGGACAGAAGCTAGGGAACCCTGTGGTTGAATTAGGGAAAGGCTGGAAGAAGCTGAGGAAGAGGAGACCCCATAGGAAGACCAGCAGTCTCAACTAACCTGGACCCCTGAGATCTCTCAGACACTGGATCACCAACCAGGCAGCATACACTAGCTGATATGAGGCCCTCAACACATATTCAGCAGAGGACTGCAGGGTTTAGCCTCAGTGAGAGAAGATGCACCTAACCCTCAAGAGACTTGAGGCCCCAGGGAGTGGGGAGGTCTTGGGTGGAGGTGGTGGGGACATCCTCTTGGAGATGGGGAGGAGGAATGGGATGAGGAACTATCAGAGAGTAGACCAGGAGGAGGATAACTACTGGACTATTAAAAAAAAAGATATTAAAGAGTAATAATAATAAAAAGAAAGAATTCAAACACAACAAAGGAAAGAAAGAAAACTCTCTGTCTTGAAAAAAAAAACAAACAAGCAAAAAGGAGTGTTCAATTATTTTACCAGGGTCTATTTGGAGACAGCCGCTCACTATGCCAGGCTTCAACCAGAAAGCCTCCCACTGTCAGCACGATTACAGCAACCACAACAACCCGGATGAGGTTACCCATGGTGTAGCCTTCTGTCATGGTATCCAGGGGCTCTGAAAGGGAGAAGACACTCATCATGAGCCACAGAGGGCATCCCTCCTTCACAGAGAGATGGACCAAATCTAACTCCCGTAAGTCTGGCTTGGATCCTGGCCTGTGTTCTCTAAAGATTTAATGATGAGTTGAAATGGGTATTCCTTTACCTAATTTTCTTTGTGTTCAGTTCTGCCTCAGCTTTCCCCCCTTTGTTTGGCTTTACCTCATTTCTGCCTCTGCTCTCTTCCCTTTCTCCTCTCCCTGGACGTATTAGGAGTTAATCTTAGGCACAACACATAGATCAAAGGAGAAAGACTGACACATAGATCTACAGAACACAGAAATCAGTGGCAGGTCAGCATGTCCTCAGACCGCAACATGCTGTGTTGGCAGTGAGCTTCAGAGAATTGGAACCTAACAGAGGAAAGTCAGGTTCACTCTGTATCTCCCCTTCACTCAAGAGGAGCTGTTGAATCATGTTGTAAAAGACAAGGGAAATGATTAAGTGGACAAAGTGCCTGAACCCCCAGAACCCCACATAAAGCTGAACACCGTAGTGTGCTTCTAAAACCCATATGCACTTCAGTGAGATAAGAGGAGATTCCAAAGAAGCTTGTGGCCTAGTTAGCTTGGCGTCTGCAGCCGTGAACGGCAAGAGACCGTTGTCTCAAATAAGACCGAAAGCAAGAACTAATACTAGCCAAGGTTGTCTTCTGACCTTGACACAAGAACCTTGGCATGAGTGCCTGCACTTATACACAGGAACACACACACACACACACACACACACACACCCTAAAAGCAGAATAAAGAGGAGGGAAAATGAAGGGGGGAGGAAGAAGGAGGGGAGGAGGAAGAGGTGCTGATGGAATGCTTGACAGTGATCTGTCCTTAAAGTAGCCTGCACATGAATCACCTCATCTCAAAGATGCATTCATAACGAAATGCATCTACAACAAGGTTACCTGCAGGCAAGACTGTGGAGAGCTTGTGGGACCACTTGGCAGGAATCTGACATTGACCGAAGACAAGGAAATGGGCTTTAGGCCGAAATCTGACATTGGGCCATGACAGGGAAGTAAGTTCAGGCAGGGATCTAATTTTAGGCTAAAACAGAGAAGTAATTTCAGTCAGGAATCTAAGTCTTCGGCTAGAACAAAGAAGTAGGCATCAGGCGTTAATATGACTGCAGGCTAGGACTGGGAAGTAGGTTCAGATATTTTTGTCATCCTGATAACCCTTAGAAACAGTGATCTTGAGAGTGATCACGGGATTTTGTTTATTGCCTTGTTTGCTTTTTGACTATTTGCATCTATTATATTGCTGGTTCCTCAACCTAGAACTGACCTAAATACTTGCATGTAATTAAAATGGTTTAAAAGAAAATTGAGAAAAAATAAACCCTCCTCAGCCTTCAGCCTCAGAACTGGCTGGGGTCATGCTGCAATATTGTCTAATCATCTGTTTTTCTTTTTAATCCTCACTCCTGTACTGGAGAACCTGTTGACTGACTGAGCTGGCCTGGTCACAGGACCCCAGGGCAAGGCAGGTAACATCACTACTACATAGGGAAGTCATTCTTCAGCACTCATTACTGACCACACAGGCTTTCTTATCTAACAGAAAGTCTCAAGGGCAAAAAGGAGAATTTACAAGCAAGGCGTGTGGCATTTAAGAGGGCAACATTCTCGAAGGAAACTTTGGATAGTTTTGGAGATTAAAACCGTAAAGGAACGATATCAAAGAGAAAGCCCACTTATAATTGTTTACATGTCTATGTCTATGTATATGAAGAGGTGTAGGAGATCAAAGGCCTCCACAGAGAAAACATTAAGGCACCAAAGACAGAAGACACTAGAGGGTGGAAAGACCTCTCCTGCTCATGGACAGGCAGAATTCATATTGTTAAAATGGCTAGATTACCTAAAGCAATCCACAGATTTGATGCAATCTTTCTTAAAATCTTAATGACATTCTTCACAGTACTAGAAGAAACAACAGTAAACCTCATATGAGAGCACACAAGACTTAGAATAGCAAAACCGATCCTTAGCAGAAAAGGCTATGTTGGAAGCATCATGATACCCAATCTCAAATTATATTACAGTCCTAGCAACAGCAACAAACCCACAAAAGCCAGTGTGGCACTAGTGTAAAACAGACATATAGAGCAGTCAAATAGAATAGAAATCAGCCACGTGGCGTGATTCACCTAATTCTTACAGAGTGGTCAAAAACACACATAGCAAGGTCTGGAGAGATGGCTCAGTGGTTAAGTGTACTGACTGCTCTTCCTAAAGGATCCAAGTTCAAATCCCAGCACCCACATGGCAGGGCACAACTGTCTGTAACTCCATGTCCATGGGAATTCGACACCCCAACACAGACATACATACAGGTAAAACACAGGTACATATAGAATAAGAATAAATAAATAAAACATTTAAAAAAAAACATGCATTGCAGCCAGGTATGGTGGTGTACATTTTTAATTCCAGTGCTCTAAGGGCAGAGGCAGACAGATCTCTGTGGCTTCTGGGCCAGCCTGGGCTACAGAGTGAAAACTTTGTCTGAAAAACAAACAAGCAAACAAACAAACAAAAATTATAGAAAAGACATCCTCTTTAACAAATCATTCTGGGAACATTGAAGTCTGCATGTTGAAGACAAAAGTAGATCCACATCTCTCACCCTGTGCAAAAATCAGTTCTAAATACATTAAAGACCTTAGACCAGATGCTTTGACACTGCTAGACAGAAAACACTTCAGGATAATAGACAGAGGCAAGGACTCACTGAAAAACTCTTTGATAGCACATTAAATGATCCAAAGAACTAACAGTTCTCAGAGCCAGAAACACAAAAGGCTGTTAAACAGAAGAAAAGGTGTTCAGAGAAATGCTAATTAAACCTCCTATGAGGCTGGGCGTGGTGGTGCATGCCTTTAATCCCAGCATTCGGGAGGCAGATCTCTGTGAATTCGAAGCCAGCCTGCTCTACAAAGTGAATTCCAAGACAGCCAGAACTGTTTAAACAAAGAAACTTTGTCTCGTAATCCAAAAACTGGCCCTGAAGTTGAGAGCACTGGCTGCTGAGTTCAATTCCCAGCAACCATATAGTGGCTCACAACCATCTGTAATGGGATCTGATGCCCTCTTCTATCTGATGCCTCTTCTGTTAGGTACGCACACAGGCAAATAGAGCACCCGTATACCTAAAATACATAAATAAAATTTAAATATAAAAAATTTAAAATTTTTAAAAAAGAAAAACTAGCTATGAGATTCTACCTTATCACAATCATTATGGTTGAAAGAGTATCAACAAATGCTGGTGACGATGTGGGGTGAGAGGCATCCTTAACATCACTGGTGGTAGTGTAAACTTGTACAGAAATCAATATGGTTTCTCGGAAAAGTTGACAATAAGACCACCATACAACCCAGCTATATTACTCCTTGGTATATACCTGGAGGTATATACCTTAGGCCAATGTACCAAAGAGATGCCTGCTCATTCATATCTACTGCTTCCTTATTCACAATGGCCAGGAGAGTAAACCAGCCTAGAGGTCCATCAAATGTGATGTGTGTGTACATAACAGAATTTTATGCAGTCAGGAAAGAAATCAAAATCACGGTGTCTGCTGGAGGCCATTGTGTTAAATAAAATAAACTAGATTCAGAAAGATAAATATCATGTTTTCTTTCAAATGTAGAGCCTAGATTTAAAATGATATGTATATGTGCCTCTCTCTCTCTCTCTCTCTCTCTCTCTCTCTCTCTCTCTCTCTCTCTGAGCGTGTGTGTATTTATATATGGGGGTCACTAAACCATCTATAATGGGATCTGATGCTCTGTTCTATCTGATGAGAGAATCATGAGAAGTGGGTATGAGAATTGGGGGGGGGGATAAAAGTGCATAATGAAACAACATAGCAGACATTGAGACTAACTGGGAGGCGAGGAGGAAGCAGTTGGGGGCAGTGGAGGATGACAAGAGCAGTGTGGGCGGCAAGGAGAATAAATCCCTTGTAGAGTCACACTGATGAAACTCATTGCCTTGTGTGCTGACTGTGTTAGTGATCACACAAAAGCAACCTCACTAAAGCAACCGAAGGAAGGGTTTGTTTAGACTCTCTGCGTGAGTGTGCTGGCGGTTGTGGTGGGAAAGTTGGGGCAGGAGGATCTCAAGGCAGAAGGTCTCCTTGCATCCACAGTCGGGAAGGAGAGAAAGAGATAAGTACTAGGGCTCGGTTCACTTTAACCTTTGTATCTAGTCTGAGAATCCCAGCCCTTTGATGGTACCACCTATGCCTAGGATGAGTCTTCCTACCTCATAACCTAATCTAGATAATCCGCCATGGACAAGCCCAGAGGCTGGCTTTCTTGCTGATTCTAAATCCCATTAATATTCACTTTATACTAACCTGAAAGTTTAATTAAAATAATAAGCCAGAGTAGCAGTGCACTCCTTCAGACCTAGCATTGTGAGGCAACAGCAGGCAGATCTCTGTGAATTTGAGGCTAGCTTGGTCTACGTAGTGACTTACAAGACCGGGCCAGGACTACATAGTGAGTCCTTGTCTCAAAATAATAATAACAAGGGCTAGAGAGACGGCTCAGCAGTTAAGAGCACTGACTGCTCTTCCAGAGGTCCTGAGTTCCACTCCCAGCAACCACATGGTAGCTCACAACCATCTATAACCGGATCTGACGGCTTCTTCCGGTGTATCTGAGGACAGCTACAGTGTACTCATAAATAAAACAAATAAAGCTTAAAAAAGAATAATCAATAAAACTATAAATATTGCATAGCTAAATAAAACATGTCTGCTAACTACAACAACCCCCACACTGGACAACCCCCGCACCCTGCACCCAATACACACACACACACACACACACACACACACAGGGTCACAAAATTACACAAAACCTTACCTATCACAGAGATCTCAAGGAGATTGCTGGGACCTGAGGCTCGATAGGGAGCCTTTGCCTGATAGTAAACACAGCTGTATTGCCCGGAGTCTCTGGCTGTCACGTTCTGAAGAGAGAAGTCTAACACCATTCCTGTTGAACTCCTCATCTGCACAGGAGTTGAGAGTCCCACCTTCAGCAACGCAAACCGTATGGGTCCGAGGACACTGCTTGCTTTCTGGCACTGCAAAGTCACCTTGCTTCCTGCAGTCACTGTGCCCCTGTGGTGGGCTTGGAAGGAGGGCTTAGGTAAGTACCCTGGAAGAGAAAGAGGCTCTGAGCTCAAGGGAAGAATCTGTGGGTTCTGTGCTTATTCTTGTTCTTTTGTTTGTTTGTTTGTTTGCTTTTTCAAGAACCGGGTTTCTCGATGTAGCCCTGGTTGTCCCGGGACTTGATCTGTAGACAAAGCTGGCCTCAAACTCACAGATTCGCCTGCCTCTGCCTCCTGAGTGCTGGGGTCAAAGGCGTGTGCCAACACTTCCAGGCGAGTTTTTTTGTTTTGTTGTTTTCTTTTTTCATTTTTGTTCTTGTGGCAGTGATCTTATGAACCTCATCCCTCTCACAGTCTATTGTGACTCTAGGACAGAGATATTTTCCGCTCCCAGAACCCCTGGGTGGAGCCACATTCCTGCCCCTCTAACTCTTGTTCTGGCGATTCTGCCCTTTACTTCCTCCCTTCTTCTAGTCCCTCCCTCACCCCCTGTCCGTCTCTCTGAGGTAGACAATCCTCACCTGTCACCAACAGGAAAAGGGCATCGCTGGGCTGTGACAGTGTGTCGTGGGACCATTTGCTGTAGTATTCACAGGTGTAGTATTCGCCATCATTCTGTCGTAGCTCAGTGATATAAAAATCAGCTGTCTCCTCTGTCAAATTATATGGCTTCATAAAATCCAAAATGAAACCTTCCTTTTTGAGGATGAAGTGTTTACTTGGGGTAGGGCTCTTACATTGCATTGTCACCTTGCTCTTGGTGGGAAGCACTGTGCTGGGCCAGGCACTGAGGCTGGGCTTGGGAAGAGGCCCTGGAAGGAAACAGCCCCGAGCTTTATCTGAGATAGCTCAAATAGCAACATGCTTGTTATGTAGTCACAAAAACCGGAGTTGGACTTCTGGAAGTTTTTAAAAAAAAAATAAAATAAAAAAATCAGGGTTTGGTAGTACATCCTTGTAATCCCGTTGCTAAGGAAGTGAAACAGATGGATCTCTGGATCTCCAGGTCAGCTAGTCTAGATTAATTGGCAGGCCTTGGAGCCAATGAAAGACTTAGTCTCAAATAAAATAAAATAAAATAAAATAAAATAAAATAAAATAAAATAAAATAA